CAGCTAAAGACAAGGGAGGATGTTGGGGGTAGTGGTTTGAGACTTCAAAGGGGAGGAAGGCAATTCACATGGAAATGGAAAAGTAAATGTTTGGTAGACAGAACTTTGATAAGAATGGGTTTAGCAAGGACCCTCATAGTCTACAGATACCCAGTTATCTATGGTGATGGCCTGTCCTGGGGACAGGCCTGCTATCTTAAATCCTTTTAGGCAGTTAGGAGGGAGGTTGAAGTTTATTTCAGAGTCTTTTGTCCTTAACCAAAGAGACACATTTTGGGGTGGCCAATTCTGATCCCTCACACTTTGTACCAGACAAGGCACTCTTCTGCATGCTTGACATGTAGTGACATATTTAATCCCCAGAATAACCTCACCAAAAGAACTCTTATTATCCCTATTTGGCAGATTGAGGCAATCAAGGCACTGAGCAGATACGTAACTTACCCGAGGGCATATTACAAGTAAGAGGTCTATATTGTTAACTCTCACAGCAACTCAGAAAGGCAGATATTATCATCTTCATTTATTCAGATGAGAAAATTATCATTCCAAGAAATTAAGTGGCACCTAATACCACACAGTTAAGTAGCAGCAGAATTCATATACAACCTGGTTTACCTGACTCCCATTCTCATGCTCTTTCTATTGCAGTGTGTTTTATCTTATTTTATTCTATTCTATTATTTTATTTTTTAACCAGATTGCACATTCTTGAGAGAAGAAAACACCCTTCTGATTACTGCACATTTCCAAGTACATAGTGATGACCAAATATTTGATTTCTCATTGTTCAGTCAATAAGTCAATGAATGTATACAGTTCAAGGAAAGAACACAAAGTTTTGAGTGGAGACTTGAGGAGGTTAAGGACAGGGGAATGGGAAGAAATTATTTAGAACAATACTTTAAAAAAGAAATTAATGCTCAATAATCATTGTTTTTCATAACCTGTAAGTATGTCATAACACATGGAATGCAATGTTACATATGTTGCCATCTCATGGAAAAAAAGACCCATTGATTATTCACAAGAGTTACACTGGTCTCGTGAATTATTAAAATTTGCTAATGAGATGAGAAGCAGCCCCAAAGTCCCATCAGACTGCTGTTTCTGCTCCTGCCATGGAGGGGCCTTGTCTGTGAAAAGCAGGGTGTCAGGCTGGGAGGGGACGGCTGACAGGGAGAGTCAGCATGAGGATGGATGGCCCCAGTGGGAGGAGGGCATGCGTGAATTGAGAAGTAGAATCCATCCATTATATAAAAATAAACAATAAGCAACTTTTGAATCGCGGTGCTGCATTTCCTTCTGGGATTAAAATGACTACACAAACCACTTGAGCTTCATTTTTACGGTTTATGAAGCTCAAGGGAATTATACGCTTGTAATTTATAGTTGCTGGTTCCACATAGTGTTTACGGCTCCGTATGCTATGTATGATGGTATCGTGTGCATGCCTGTACACAGAGTTTAATTAATGACCTAGAGATTACCTTGGCCTGACTTATTGATGTATGTATGTTGGAAAACATGTACTTCCATACTGAAAAATAAGAGTGGTTCAGGGCCAAGAGCAGTAGCCTTGGACTTTGGAGTGAAATTTCACACCACTTCATGGTTACACTAGTTGCAGATCCAGTCTTTGGAATTCTGCATGTATTGTACCCCTTTCCAGCTCATCCTCTAAGCTTTTGCAATAAGTGAAGCAATTAAAAGTTAAATTAAATTCTGAGTCCATTTGAATCAATTTCTTTCCTATATTCTTTTTTTGGAGAGTACAATGGATATAAAAGTTACAGTTGATTTTTTGTTTATACTTTCTTTGAGAAGCAAAGTCTTTGAGTCTTCTCCGTTTCCTGCAGTTTGGGGTGAGTCCTATATGGACCTGTGCAAGGATGTCTTTTGGGGCCCCACATGCAAAGAGCAGGGGGAAGGTCAGGATGCAGTTTGCAATTTTATTAACTTTTTTCTTTAGAGTAGCTCTTGCTAAACCTAGATTTAAGAGTGTTAAAGTGACTTAATTAGATTGAATTCAGTGGTTTTCAAACCTTTAAAAATCCATAGATCCCTTCTGTAACAAAAAGCATGTGTAGAAGCCAACAGACAAAACAGGTAAATGAGGAGCTGCCTGAATCGCTTTGTCTAGTTGAGAGGCAGTGTGGCGCAGTTGTTAAAAGTAAGAACTGTGGCTCTAGAATGCGTGGGTCCAGGTCCCACGTTTTCCCACTTTCTTAGACGGCCGAGTTACTTAGTCTCTTTGTGCCTTAAGTTTCTGCATCTATAAAATGGGGATGATAAGAATAAAACCTCGTTCAAGTTGTTGTTTTCAGGATTAAAGAAATAAGTTTATGTAAGTTAAGTGCTTGGAGCAGTGCCTCGCATGTGGTACTGTCTGTCAGCTACTGCTATCATTATTTAACCTATTCAAGGCTCAGAGTAGCAGCTTGAAAACCTCTGAGTTATTCAAATATATATTGAATACCTACCATGTTCCAGGCACAGGTCTGAGTGCTGTGGAGATCGTGGTAAACAAAACACAGTCTGCTTTTCTGGCTCTTACCCTGGTCTCTAGCACAGGGGTTGGTGAACTTTTTCTGTAAAGGCCCAGATAGGAAACATTAAAGGCTCTACAGACCATATTGTCTCTGTCATCACTGCTCAGCTCTTCTATTGTGGCACTTAGCCACAAGCAGCCATAGACAATATGTAAATGAATGGACATGGTTGTGTTCTAATAAAACTTTATTTACAAAAACAGGAAGTGGACTGGATTTGGCCTGAGGGCAGAAGTTTGCCTCTCTGTGGTCTATCTCAACCTCTTCTCTTATAAACAAGATGTTTGAGGGCCAGGTCACATAATAGTGGCATAATCAAAACTAGAATCCTATTTCAGACATCCTATGCAGTATTCTTTCCATTCCACCATGCTCTGACACATTGGCTTTGTGAGGGCCCAGCCTTCTCCCCTCCTACCTTCTAGCAAACTGCACAGTGAGCTGGGTGAAAGCGGGGCTGACCAGGAGTCTTACCAGTAGATCCTGCGATTTGCTTGCTTTTGTATCTGTCTTTAGAATGGTATATTTGCTCATTCAATAAATATTTATCAGGTGCTATAATGTACTAGACACAGTAGCCAGTGGTTAGCAGGGCAGACAAAGGTCCTACTCTCTTGGAGCTTATATTCTAGAGGGAACGAGAAAGGCAGTAAATGATACACAAAGTAACTATATTATCAGCCGATCAGGAGGATTGGGAACAGATTGTAGGTTTCCCTAGGGTGGTCAGAGTAGACCTCACTGAGAAGGTGAAATTTGAGCAAAGCCTTGAAGGAGAAGAGGACCTCAGCAGAATGAAACTGGGGCAAGAGCCTGTCTAGCAAAGAGAACTACTGGAGCAAAGACCACGGACCATGTCAAGAGGGTTGGAAGAATGGCAAGTGAGCCAGAGTGGCTGGAGAGGAGTGTGCAAGGGGGTGTAACAGAAGACAAGGTGGGGGTGGGGAGGGATCATGCACAATTCTGTAAGCTTGAGTGCAGTGGGAGCCATTGCAGCGTTCTAAACAGAGGAATGCCATGCTCCGAAAGAACAGTCTCCCCCTGGCTGCTCTTGAGAATGGAGTATAGAAGCAGAGGCCATTGCTTCAATGTGGACTTTCCAGAGGAGAGGTGATGTTTACTCAGGCCACGGTAATAGCGGAGGATGGAGGGAATGTGAGGAGGTCAGATCCTGGATCTATATTTGGAAGGAAAGACAAGGGTGGAGTATGAAGAGCAAGAGAAATTAAGGATGACCTTCTGCTTATTGTATTCATAGGATTCCCGGGCTGATCACACAGTCCAATAATCTTCTTTTATGGGTGGGAGAACTGAGGCACAGAGAGGAGTGACTTGTCCTGGGTCCCAGCAGCAAGCCCGTGGCTGCCTGGGTCTAGTGGGCACAGATCTACCTCCCCATTCTATTCACTATGGCTTGTCTCCTTGGGTTAATCTTCCTCCTTCCCTGATGCCACAGAGCTACATGCCCCTCCTGAATCTCTTCCATGTCATTCTCTCTTTACTTACCCTGTCACAAAACTATCCTTTCATTACTGGTTCCCCGCCTCTAGCTAGCTTTTTTAGGGCTCCTAACATAGTGTTTGATACACAGTAGGTGCTTAATTCATGTTTGTTGAATGAAGAAATAAACAGGTGTTTCACAGTCATTTTTTTTTTTAAGATTGGCACCTCAGCTAGCAACGTTGCCAATCTCTTTTTTTTTTTACTTTTTCTCCCCAAATTCCCAAGTATATAGTTGTATATTTTATTTAGTTGTGAGTCCTTCTAGTTGTGGCATATGGAATGCTGCCTCAACATAGCCTGATGAGCAGTGCCATGTCTGCACCCAGGATCTGAACCGGTGAAACCCTGGGCCGCCAAGCGGAGGGCACGAACTTAACCACTCAGCCAGGGGGCTAGCCCCTCACATAGTCTTTCTTTTCCTAATTTACAGCCATCCAAAAATCTCATTGTTGCTCTTTTATAGTTTTCCTTCTTTCACTGACTTCAGTGTTTGCTTTCTTTTTTTTCCTCATAGAATCTTTACTTGGATTTGCTTCATATTTTCTATTTTAAGACTTTCCATAGAGCCTGTCACATTGAAGGGAAAGTCTTTTGATTTTCATTTTAAATTACATCCATTAAACAGTAATACATCAGGTAGTAAGGTATTTGATATTTTAAATCTCTTTTTACTTTCTTTTGGCTCCTCAACAGGTCTCTTGGGGGGCATACAAGTTCAAAGCATCTTGAAATTCTGCCAGAAATGGGGCCCAGTTGCAGCAGTGTGTATAGTACTTGGATGTGTGAAGTGCAGCTGGAGAAGGAGTAGTTTACCCACGCCCGGAGTGTAATACGTCTGTCCGAACTCGAGCCCCTCTTTTGCCATTACTCTTAGTTGAGCATGTGCTATAAAAGCTACCATGCGTCAACAATCTAGGCAACTTTGCCCTGACTTAATCTTCTCAGGATGAAGGTGCACCTGCCGGAAGCATCGTCCAGAACTGCTAGTCACTGAAACTGCAAATTCACAGAACCCTTTGCTTTGAGCTAGATTATTGCTCTAAGTCCTGCAAGCTACATAAAGACAAATCAGCTTAGCATACATAATCGGTAAAATACCTCTTACTTACTATAAAATGAAAGATGTATTTTTCCTTTTTTATTCTCTTGCATATTATTTTTTGAGGAAAATGTGAGTCTTATTATCTTTAGAAGGGCTGTGAGCTGCAATAGATTATTGGTTGACATATTTTTGGCATTATGAGCCATTGATCATGGTCTCATTCTCTTGAATTCAATGATAAAATAATAGATAATATTTATAGCCTGACATTGTACTGAGTATTCTACATGCGTTATTTAATTCTCACAATCCTGAGGTAGGTGCTATTATTATTCTTCCCATTTTACAGATGATGAATGAAGTTAAGTAACTGGCCCCATGACAATATCTATAGAGCTCACGGCATACTTGTTATCACCAAATAGTTTTGGCATATCTGCAGGTTCTATGGTATGGTGCTAGCTTAAGTTCAGTTTTTCCTCATGTATAGTTAAAATTATGATCTTTTAGGGGTACAGACTAAATCTCAGTAAGTCTTAAGGTTAATTTGTGTTTCACTTGGTATATGATATTTTATAAAAATTCCCAACATTTATATACCACTGTAGCTTTTACAAAATGCTCTTACAAATAATATGTCCTTTCATTTTAGTGTTCTGTGGGCACTCAACCTATTTGCCTAGTATCAGAGTTGTACTGATTATCTTAAATGCAGAGGAAAGATTCCCTGTCCCTCCTTTCCCCTTTTCATTCCCCACAACTCCCACCTCTCCCCACTTCTATTACTTTACAGTACTCAAAATAATCTCATATCTGTTTCCTCATTTAATCCTCAAACCAGTCATCTGAGGTAGATGCTATTCTTCCCATTATGCTGTTGAAGAAATGGAGACTTAAGAGAAGTGATTTACTGTTGGAAAGACAAGGCAGAAGGTACGTCAGAGAGGTTTGAAGTATGGGAAGGACTCAGCCCACAACTGATGGCTCCGAAGATGAAGGGGCCACAAGCCAGGGAAAATGGGCAGCCTCTGGGAGTTGAGACCAAACCATGGCCAACAGCTGATAAGGTAACACAGACTTTAGTCCTACAGCCTCATGGACCAGAATTCTGTCGACAACCCGACTAACCTGGAAACTATTCCCCCCAGCACCTCCAGAAAGGACACAGCCCTGCAGGCACTTTGATTTCTGCCTGTGAGACATTTAGCAGGGAACCAGCTGAGCCATGCTGTGCCCAGATTCCTGACTCATGGAAATCATGAGATAATAAATTTGTTGTTTTAAGCTGCTAAATTTGTAGTAATCTGTTGCAGTGGCAATAGAATGCAAATACAGTCACAAAAGCTGTTTAGCAGCGACTCAGGTGATCCCAAGTTCCATACTGTTTCCGTGGCTGCCCAGGACAGCACCCTGGACTGTGCTCTCTAAGGGCAAGAGGGCCATCTGCCCCAGATGTACACAGGATGATCAATTAGGTACGGGAAAAAAAAGTCTCAACTCTTAAACTTATAGTTTTTTGTAGGTTTTATAATATAATTAATGTATTAGTATAGGAGAATATTTATAATTTGCATATTCACATATTTATAATATTCTTCACAATTGCATATTGCCTGCTCAATTGAGTCTTACTGATAGGGTTGCATGATTAAAAATGCATGTTGAACAGTGACCTAGTGGAGCAAGAACAGAATGTAGAGGCATGCTCTAGTGGAAAGCTCACTGTATTTGGAGTGGGAGCCATTGATTTTATTTCTACCTATGATGGCAATTAGCCCAGTGACTTTGGCCAAGCCACTCCATGTCTCTGGCTTACATGTCCTCATGGTACCTTAAGTAGGCATCCTGGATGCTCCCTGAACTTTACTTGAGAATATAGAGATGCCACGTTGACGTCCAATCAGTAACTACCATCTCTGAACCGTGCCTTTTTTCTGATTGAGGGAAAAAAAGAAAAACAGACAAAAAACAGGTTTTGCTGAGTTGGCTGGTTGTTTGGACCAAATGATTGTGTGTTTGACTGAACTGATTTAATACAATAAGCTACTTCTGGGCAGGTATTTTTCTTATTCATTTTTCTTTTTAATCTGCCAAACTTCTATCCTGGTACTTTGCACCAGATTAATAGTAAGATTTTGTGCAATGAATGGATGGACTTAAACTGGTAAAAAAAAAAGTATTAAGCTTAAGAAGAAGTATTAACAACATAAATTATAGTGATCTCTCTTATTCATTACCAGGGCCCAGGTTGCCTGACTGCTTCTGTTAGACTACAGAATCTCGGGGGACTAGCAGTAAAATTGATGTCTCTAGGGATGTTCTAACAGAACTGTTGGAATGATAGAGCTACATGGATATAGTACCTATCATGCATCAGATATTACTCTAAGTACTTTCTATGTATTAACTCATTTAATGCTCATAATAACTGTTTGGTAGTAATATTACTTTCTTACTACAAGTGAGTAAAGCAAGACACAGAGAGGTTAAATAACCTGCTCCAGGTCACACAGCTAGCAATTGGTGGGGCAGATCCAAACCCAGCAGTCTGGCTTCAGAGTCTGTGCCTCTCACCCCTGTCCTCTGCTGCTTCTCCAGGGTGGGAAGTAGTGCGGTAGGCTTTGGAGGGCTCTTTTCTTGAACCCTTCAAGCATAAGCATTTCTTAAACTTCTAACCCACTAGGAATAATGCGGACCAGCTTCCTGTCCACAGGGACTCAGAGCATGAGCCCAGCACGGGAAAGCCCAGATTGAGATGTCCGGTGTTGCCATGGGGAGGAGTAGGCGGGGAGACCGTGGCACAGAGAGCTCTCTGGTCTGAGCAAAATTAATTAAGCTTTCTGAGCCACAGTTTCCTTGTATATCAACATGGAGCTGACAATACCTACTGGATGAAGCTGTTGTGAGATTAAATGAAATAATGGGTGTAAAGCATAGCGTTTCAGGCATGGAACACAGCAGGTGTTTAATAAATCTTTCTTGAACTGTGCTGCACCCATGGTCTGAGTGACACTGGAGCCCAGAAGATGTTAACACACAGGAGAGAAATGTCCTACTGCCCACAGTATAGCTTTGCCTACACAGAGCGCAAATGCACCATGTCCTAAACCTATCCCATGATCTTCTTTCCTGCTGTCCTGATCTTCCTGTCATCCTGGGTTATGAACCTCTCTTCATGACTCGCCTGTTCCTCCAGTATCGTAGGTTGGAAACCTCACAGGCATATCCAAACAATTGCAGGGCTTTGTTGAGTCTGCCTCTATAATGTCAGTACGATTCATCTTCCTCTCTGTTGCCTTATGATTAAGGATTTAGGTCAGGTCCTCATTAGCAGGCTTGGATTATAGGCACAGCCTCTTAACCTATCTCCCTATCTTCAAACCTCCATGTAGCTGCTATTTATCTGTCTAAAACACAAGCCAACATATTGCTTCCCTATGAAAAGCTTTTTCTACCTTTGCACTTTAGTGAGGCCGTGTGTAATCTGGCTCTTTTCATTGTCACATCCTGCCCAGGAGCAAGACATGGACCTGGCTGCAGCAACCTTGTGCTGTCTCTGGGTCCATCAGTGTGACGGTAGTGGCTAGATGGTGTGCACAGCAGCTGGGTAAAGTAGCCGCCAGCACTGAGGGTGCTCAGAGTGACTAGTCAGAGACCAAAAACGACTAGCTGCAGTCCTTGCCAGGACCATTAATTTCTCCTTCCTTTCCACTTTTTAAACATTTTATTGTCACCAACTCTTCCACCAAAGTATATACAAGAAGAACAAAAACCAGCCCTTGAGAATTTGCAGAAATCCTAGGGAGGATTCTTGAGAGAATCTCCATATCAAGAAGCTGGGAGATACCACGTATATGAGCTTTCGTTTCCAAATACACGATTTATAAGCCCAGAGATCTTTTAGATCACTAGGCTGTAATTTAATGCACATAAAAGGAATGGTTTAATAGCTATCTTTGTCACCTCTAAAATGTAGACACTATAGTCTCTTCCGTTTTATTTTCCACCAAAAGCATATATTTAAATGTTAATTTATTTTCTTTTCATTTGTAGGACCCAACCACGTCACTCTCTGCTAATTTCTTCTCATTGCTGAGGCAAAAGACCAAAATTTTACTTATTTGTTAAATTTAAAACACCTCTATAATACTAATTGTGTATTAGGCACTGTTCTAAGAACTTTACAAATCTTAGCTCATTAAACTCTATAAGGTAGGTGTAGTCATGCATTGCTCAATGATGGGGATACATTCTGAGAAAAGCACTGTTAGGGGATTTTGTCATTGTTTGAACATCATAGATTGTACTTATACAAACCTAGATGGTGTAGCCTACTACACACCTAGGCTATATGATACTAATCTTATGGGACCACTGTAGTATATGTCATCCATCATTGACTGAAATGTTGTCATATGGCACGTGTCTGCACTATTATCATCACCCTTATTTTTCAGATGAGGAAACTGAGGCACAGGAAGGTTAAGTAACTGTGTGCTGTAACACAGCTAGCAAGCCTTCATCATCTGGCTCCTGCCTATGTCTCAGACCTCATCTCGTTTCTCCCTATTGCTCTCTCTTTTTGGTTATCTTTGTGTCTCTGTACAAGTATATTGAGCCTGCAATACATTCTTCCCTGCTATTCACTTGTTTGGTTCCCAGTGGTGGTAATACTATATTATGAATGTATTTGAAAACGGCAGAATTCTAACAGCCACAATTCCCTTGACAGTGGGATTTGATGATTCTTAATCAAAAGGCCTAAGGTGGTTTTTATTTACCTCTCTGACATCTGTGCTTCCCTGAGTCTTCCGCATCTCTGTTGGGAGGACAACTGTTCACCCCTATTTTAGGCTTCCCTATTTGTATAGGGAGGACCACCATACATACTTGTCTTCTCTTTTCCCTGTCTCTTTTGGCAGGACTACTATACAGCCATGCGTTAAGGCCTAACACCTTGGAGTTTTCCTTGACTCCTCTCTGGCTCCCATACCCCACATCCCATCTCTCAGTGGATCCTGTCAGTTCTACCTTCATAACCCGTCCTGAACCTAACTACCTCTCTCCTCCACCTCTACTGGATTAATCCTAGCCACTATCAGCTCTTGCCTGGACCACTGCAAGACCTCCTCTTGGTCTTGCTTCTTCTTTTGCCCCTTCCAGTATACTCTCCACAGGCAGCCAGAGTGATCAGGTCACTCCTCTGTGCTCACCTCCAATGGCTTTTAGTAACATCCAGAACACAATCCAGTGTCTAACCATGGCTTATGAAGTCCTTCATGATCTTGCCCACATCTATCTCTTCATCTTCATTTCAATCATGTTTCCCTTGCTTGCTGCTTTCAGGTCCACTGGAACCCTTCCTTCTGCTCTAGGAGCACTCCAAGAGACCTCTCACCTCGGACACTATGTTCACTTGCTATTCCCTTCTGGAACCCTCTTTCCTCAGATTTGTCCGTGGATGCTCCTTCTAGTCTTCATGTCTCTGCTCAAACTTTATATCCTCAGAGAGGCCTTTTCTGTCCCATTGTTCTTTCTCCCCTAACCCTGTTTATTTTCCTTCATAGTACCTGACCTTTTTTTTTTTTTTACTACATATTTATTTGCTGTTCTCTGTCTAGATGTACAGGGTTTCAGCACCTGGAAAAATACCTGGCACACATTAAGAGTTTATTAAATATTTGAAATAAATGGATGGATGAATTATTGAAGAATTGAAAATGAATACGGGAGAAGAGACAATTAGATACTTTCAAAAAGATTTCTGCAGAGAGAAGCAAGGGAGCTAGAAGGCAGTCTATCTAGGGATGAATCACTCCCCTTGAGAACAAAAGGAAATTTAACTACTCAGGGAACAAAGTGAGTCCAAGGTGAGGGAGCCCTCCCTGCCCCTCTTTGTTTTATCTGCCTGTTGCCTGTCTGTGGGGCCCCCATCCTGCTGGTGGGAGGCTTAGGGATGAGTACCTGATTTGCCACTACCAAGCAGAACTGCTGTGCTTTCCTCTCTTCCTCTGTGCTTGGGGTCTCACTGGGAGTGGGCCAACAGAAGTTTGGTGCACAGGATGGTATTCTCTCCCAGGATGGTTTGGAACGCACTGAGAGCCTAATTCATCCACTTGGGAGTGAGGTTCTTAAGGAGAAACTCAGTGCTTTGGCTGAATAGCAGAGCCTTTTTCAGAGAAACTCTCCAAGGAGTTTCTACACAGGCTTCCTAGGGTAAAGCAGTTATTTGTAGCAGTTTTAGGACTCTTTATATTCCAGTTTCATCTCTTCTCATTGATTTTGCCATTTGTGGCTTATAATGGAAATGAAAATAGCTGGTGCAGATGGAAGAGTTACAAGATGCTTCTCTGTATCTTGTAGCTGGGGCACTCTTGGGGAATCAGCTGAATGAGTATTTGCTTCCTAAACTCTTCTCTGGGTTTCACCAAGTTGGGGTCACTTGCAAGGTGATCATCAATTCTGTGGATTGGTTCATATTGTGCGGTGTGAAAACAGATGAAAGAATCTGGACCATCCCCCAACATAAAAGCTTAGACGAGAACAAAAATATATAAGTGCTGACAATTTATACTAATTTTAAGAATCCACTTTGCTAAAACAGGATGAAAAAATACATTACATTGGAATAACTTCCCTATACCCAGTTATTAGGGGACAATGAAATGTTCATTTTACTGTAGCTTGATTATGATGCTGACGTCATAATCAAGTCAAGATATATATGGTAGCATCTCATGTATATAGAGGTCAGCTTGGAACACAGCTTTGATCTGGAAAAGTAAGCATAAAAGGTCTGTGATGATATGAAGCAGGAGACTCATGTCCCTGCATGAGAGCCAGGCCCCTTAGTACTTCCTATTCCTGATTCCCATTCCCATTTAGTATTCTAGTCCCAACATTTTCAGTTATCTTCTTTTCCAAGCCCAGAGCAGCTAAGAAGTAGAAAATTGGAAGAGGGCAAAGAAGGATGCAAGTCAAAGTCACACTGATGGGAGACAGGAATGACAGCTGACAGCAAGGGAGGTGACAGCAAAGCTTAAGCAGCAATGCAGGACTGCCATAGACTTTGTCTGCAAGTCTAGGACAGGCAGAGTGGAAGTCTGTATATGGAAGAGGTATTTTTCAAAGGAAGGGATGGCTTTCTTTCCTTTTTTCTGAAGATGGTGCCTCTTCCTGCATTCAGGGTCCCAGTCCCATCAGTCAATTTTGAATCCTTACTCCATAAATCCGTTCTCTTTTCCTTACTCACGTATTTAACCTTTTCTACTCAACTTATGAATAGTTTCACAACTCTTCCATCTTAAGCAACACTCTCCAACTTTCCATCCTGAATCTGTTGCCCTTTCTCCCCACAACACCTCATTCCTGTCAAGTTTTTGCAAGAGAGGTCCATACTTCCTGTATACACTCTCTCTCTTCCTTTGACTTGTCTCCCCTTGCATCCTTGGTTCTGCCCTAGTATTCCTCAGAAGTGCCCTCACTTTCATACTCTGGCCCTAATCACAAATAATCACCTAATGCCAAACTCGGTGTGTATTTTAATGCTCATTTTAGTTAACCTCTCTTTGGCATCTTAACCATTCCTTCTTTTCAGTCTACCTCTATTTGTTAACACTCATGACCACTCACCTTGGAAACCGTCTCTCCCGGGTCAAAAATAGAAAAGATCATCTTTGTTCTAAACTGTTTTCTCCACCTGTATTTCCTTGTCTTGATGAATGCCAGCACCATCTGCTCTGTCACCTGAGACTGAGCCTCAACTCCCTCTACTGACAAGCTAGTCAAGCACATTCTCCATGTCTATAATTAGGTTTATGATTTCCTTTTATTTCTTTCATAGAGTTTCTGTTCCCCTGCTTAGATTGCCCATCTGTTCTTTATATATTGTCTTCCTATTTTTTCTCTTGGAGGCCTTTACTTATTAATCATAGTCACTTTCAATTCCCTGTATGATAATTCCAACATTTATGTCACAGCTGAGTCTGGTTCTGATGATGGTTTTTTCTCTTCAGACGGTGTTTTTTCTTGCCTTTTGTCATACCTTGCAATTTTTTGTTGAAAGTTGGGTATGTTATATTGGGTTATAGGAACTGAGAGAAATAGTTGTTTAGTGGGAGGATTTATGTTTATCAGGCTAGGAGTTAGGCTGTGTTTAATGTTTATTTTAGCTGTAGGTACCACAGGCTTCAGTTTCCTCTAGTCCTTGTTTGTTCTCTCTTTTGGCTTTGAGGCTTCTCTATGTACTGCTCCTTGGAGAGAGTCTACATCTTGTACTTCTTTTAGCTGTAATCCCCCCTTATTACACTGGAGTTGGTTGGTGCAGTAGGAGGATGTGGAGGAGGGGGTGTGTTCTATGATCTAACAGGGAGCCTATGTCTTCAGGGTGTGGCCTTCACAAGGTTTCTGTCCGTCCTCCAGTGCTATAGCCCTTTCCCCCTTGCCCCATCTTCCATTCCTGGGGGCAGATTTCCCAGTCTATTTCCTTGAAGCCAAGTCATCCCCCCACCACCATGTTTATGTGTGGCAGGAAGGCTGGAGGACACTGGCGTAGGGAGGAATTCCTTTCCCCCAGGTGAGATAAGATTTCAAAATTGTGCACAGGTGAAGTCTTTTCCCCTGGAGAATAGGCCTTTGTTGTAACAATTGCTTTGGGTGGGTTTCACAATGATTACAATGATTACTCATCCCCTCCCCCTGTCTGGCATAGGAGAGAATCTTTCTCAGATCCTCACTGTGAGAACCTTGCGGAGTTCCTGGAGGGAAAGCTCAGGAAAGGCCTCTTCCCCCAAGACTGTGGCCCCCAGGAATTTCTTGCTCTTACGTAGTCTACAGTAAGCCTCCAGCAATTTGTCAAAATTACCAGTTAAGTGTCCCTACCAGTCTATGACTCCTGCAACTTCTGCTTGGGTGAATGGATCTTGGGTGTCAGTACCACTTGGGATGTGCCCATTTCTCCAGATTTCAGGGAGGTGGTTTGCCCTGCTACCTCAGTTTTATTATTGGTCCAAGAAAAGTAATTGACTTTGTCCAGTTTTTTCTTGTTAAAAGGATAGGAATGATGACTTCCAAGACCTTTACGTGTCAGAGTTGAGGTCAAAGTCTGCCTCACTCCTACCCCTCATTGTCTACATCCAAGTCCTATTCTTCTATTTCCAAAATATCTCTTGAACTATCCTCAGCTTTAGTCAAGGCATCATGATTTCTTGTCAGTAGTCTCCTGACCATTCTCCTTTTCTCCAGTAACGCATACATTCAGTAGATCCTTTAAGTCTGTCTTAGGACTGTGTCTACTAAAGTCTTCTGATGGTCCACACACCTTAGTACAGGATACAGAGTCCTCCTCCTGCTCCTGCCCTCCAGTCCCTTACAATCTAGTAGAAAAGACTGAAGGTTCAGGGTCCAGAGACAAGGATGTGTATGCATTTTATAAGAACTTTAAAATTATTCCTTTAATTTCCATTGCTTTAATTAAACGATCTTTTAAAAATAGGACATGTTCAGAGAAGTAAGAAAATAGATCAAAAATAAATAAAATTCAGGGAGAACAACTTTTAACATATGGTCTATTTATTGATATAAACTATATGTTTCTTTGTCATCACACTGATATATCCATGTTTTATGCTTGTACAGAGGAAGGGACTGGATTGAAATGTCTTTTATTTTGGCCACAACTGCAGTAAAGTTCTGAGGGTTGTGATGTGACACACATTCTGTAGAACATACATGAGACTGGACATGGGTAAGATGAGGGCTCCTGGCGTACGTATTTGACCTATTTTTGACCTCAGGTGCTCTTAATTCACTTCCAAAGACCAAATGAAGTGATAACTATAATGTGTCAACAGTCTAGAATTTAGCTGGCCCAGGAGACGTAAGTGTCCTATGGGTGAGGTCTAAATTAGATGGCAGTCAGGTATGTATACAGGAGCGGTCATTACTGTGGGCAGATGTGCACTGCTAATGGCTGGCAGTGGAGATTGCTGTAGGGGGAATTCCTTGATAAAAATGAGTTAAAATGAGACAATGGATTATCCAGGAGGGTGCTTTTCTATAGACTACGCTTTTATTGGTAAAGGCAATCAAAGGAAAAAAATTGAGCCATTAAAAATGAAAGCCACTGTAATGTATTTATTTAATATCATCTATGTAGCACACAACTGTATGCATATATATGAATTTTTTTCTGTTAGTCTGGGTAAACTAAAGGAAATACTGGTTTTATTTTTTTTCCAAATAAATGTAGATGGAAGGCTGGTACCTTAAGGCAATGTAGGAACCTAATGTACAGGAGCAGAGGGACTACTTGCAGAAGAGTTAAATCCTCATGCATGTAAGGCAACTGCCCGTGATCTCATTACACTGCGGAGAGCTTGCAAGCATTACTCCCCAGCCACAAGAAAAGTCAGCGCACAAGTGACCTGTGTATTAGCATCTCTGCAAATCTCAGGCAGGAGCTGAGATTTATATACACTTTATGCACCCCTGAGGAAATACCCATTCTATGCCATTGATGGGCCAGATGTATTTTCCTTGGTGAAATGTGATCAGAATGTAATTAGAAGAAAATACATTGTTATTCAAAAACAAATAGACAGTATTCTTTAAAATTCCATGGTAATTTAGAACAGGCGGCAGTATTGAATTAGAGGAGTTGTATGGAAGGGTTGTTATTGTGTGGTAGGGCCAGTGAGGTTACATTTGCCACAGGGCACTGATTTAGTTCTATAGCCATTGAGCTGAACTGAAAATTTCACCTGTCCAAAAAAACTTTGCTTCTGAATACGATTACTAACGTGATAAAATACCTCACATTAGAAAGTGTGATTCTTTGAAAATGCCAATGTGGATTTGAATCTTTTTTTTCCCAGAACCAATTTTACAAGGAAGGAAAAAAAGGGAAGATGGCATTGGGGGGGAAATACACACGTTTCTTACAGAACTTGCTAGAGCAATCACACAGACTGCTATTATTCTGCTGCATCTGTGCATTTTATTGAAACAAAGTGATTAATGTATTTCAAATTTTGAACTTATGGACTCAATTATTTTAGTGTCATATCATCAAAATATACAAAAACCTGCCACATCCAATTTCTACATAATCCCAAGTAGTATAAAATTATATGTGTGTTTACAATGTTGAGGCATTTGAATGGCTTGTGTGACATAAGCGTGGACAATTACATACAGGAACATGAATAAAACATGTTCAAATGTACAAACAAGACAGACATCAGCCAAAAGAATTATATATATGCATGATGAATTAGGATGAAAATTCATCCTTTAATCTCTTTTAGACTTTGTATCACAATATCTTATATAAGACTGAATACTTTATAGGAAATATCTGGGGGAAAAAGGCATAATTTACAACCTGTGTACTACAAGTATTTTAATCTGTAATTTTATGTGAACCAAAAAGATGAGTAAAACATTGTTATTTATTTTTTTTAAAGATTGGCACCTGAAGTAACATCTCTTGCCAATCTTCTTCCTTTTTTCCTTCTTCTTCTCCCCAAAGCCCCCCACTACCTAGTTGTATATTCTAGTTGTAGGTCCTTCTGGTTGTGCTATGTGGGATGCCACCTCAGCATGGCCTGATGAGTGGTGCCAGGCCCACACCGGAAAAACCCTGGGCCACCGAAACGGAGCGTATGAACTTAACCACTTGGCCACGGGGCTGGTCCCTGTTAGTGTTTTTAAACCTCTCTGAAGAGGTCCAAAGAGAGGTAAGATTAGTGGCAATGGATTTAAAGACAGGATGAACAAGGACTGCTTCCAAATTGAAGGCATTAGAAACCAACTTTACAGAGTAAAATATTCCTATAAGCAGATTTGTGCATCATTTGGGACTATTGACGGGTTCCAAGGAACCAGTAACCCATAGCCTTGCTCTGGTATTTGTCAAAACCTTACAAATGTAAAGAATGTCTAGAGAAAATGAAAGTTTGTGAGTGAACATTAAGGATGGAAAGAAGACATATGGCAGTTTAAAAATATGGCCCCAATTCTTTGGTATTCCTCCCATTGAAGGATGGGCTATTTCCTTCCCTTTGAATCTAGGTAGGTCTGTGACTGCTTCAATCTGCAGAATGCAGTGAAACCGATGCCAAGTGA